CCGATGTAGTGTTAGTCGTGATGGCTATGATAGCATAGATCCGCGGCTACGAAGCGGTGTTGTAGACTCTATAGGCACTCTGTTCCGAAAAGTTGCAGTAGAGCAGTGATTCTTGTTCTGACTGACCTTCTCATCATGACCCATTACATCAGCAATCACCAAGAATCCATGATATTCAGCTAATCAATCCCAAACTCGAATAACGCAGATCAGACCATACGTCGTCTTTACAACCCCTGACCTCTACTAAGTTAAGTAATCACCGGTAGAGAAAGCCTCACTAGCGGTTTCCGGAAGTGACTACGAGCAGTGGAGCGTACCGCAGGGTTAGTCTTCCGATCCAGAGAAAAATACGCATAACGTTTAAAGTTACCGGGGACGATTCCCGAGTCTTCCACGGCCCATATACGTTTCAATGCGCACCCCGGCCACGTTCCCTACTCCGAGGTGCCAAGAATTTATGGACCGCATCCGTTGAGTCCGGAGTACATGTGATCGTCCGCTTCGTCCGGGGTCCATGTGCCCAAAGGTAATCCGGTGGTGCGGAGGACGGTATGACGGACATGACGCTATATGTATGATGTGGAGGACGAAGGGTAGCATGACGTATCTGATGTAACGACAACCTCAGCTTCAGAGGAAATACTAAGAGACCTGGGTTTGTCGATCAGTTTGAAGACTTATTGCAGCAAGCGTTAGCTAAATGATGACATGGCAATATTCGAGAGCCTTCGAAAGGAGCTTTGAGGTCAGGAAGAAAGCCCATGATCATAAGTCAAAAGATTGGTGACCTGGACTGACATACCACTGAGCCAGGTGACCATAGATCCACAAACATGTATTGGAACACTGCCCTCGGTTACATGGAGCCTCCAAGATTGACAGAATAGTCCAGAAAAACTCTCGCTGCTTACTTGACACCTTTCACACGAAGAAGGGCTAAGAAGGTAATCCTTTGTTTGAAATGTTATGATATTTGTAATGTTTGCTGACAATCCAGGGCCGATCCGTCTCGACAGGCCAGCCGAGCTATGACTGATAACATTAAACTGGTAAGTATTTAGTCAAAAATATAATGGTATGTGCCGATTAAGTGGTCACCAAGTTGGCGTGACGTCTTTCAATCTCGCCTCCCCCACTAAATTCGCATATGCTCTGCTATCAAGCGTCGTAAATGCCAGAAAATACCGCGCCGCCTGCCCGCACAACGCCCGAAAACAGGGATATTCAACTTCGTCTACCTTCGCTCCTTTTTATGAATGTAATGCTGTTTTTCCTTTCTTTCTTTGCTATTGGCTAGTCGCGTCCTGATTCGCGTCCAGAGTCGGAAGCGTAGTCGTCGACGAGGCTTTGCATCTCAACGTCGTGTATCCTGCGATTCTGGATGCGCTTCTCCATGGGCTCTGCTTGTTCAAGAGAACCACGACGGCCCCAGTTGCGAGGTTGGCGCTTGAGAAAAGCACCGACGGAGCCCAGATAGCCCTCGTGACGGAGGAAGTAGGCCTGCTTCTTGCCTTGAGACCAGAACTTGATGGCGTAGCTGAGGGTATTGATCGTTTGCCTATGCCCGCGAATGAAGGAACCTCCAAAGTAGATGTGGTCCAGGTTGTGGATTTGAGATTGGAGGAAGGCGATCTGGCCAATGTTGTTGGATATCGCATATAGCAGCGAACGCGAGACATCTGCCCCAGAGAAGGGCTCTTCTGAAGAGTGCTCTGCTGCTCCCTGAGGGCCATCTTCAGCTGAGGCTTCCGGTGGCGGAGATGTGTTCTTGTTATCGCCATTGTGCAGTCCACCGTGGTCTTCCGCTTCATTCTCGGCTGTGCGCTTCATGCGGAAGACCTTGCCAAACGACGATGCAATTGTGGTGCTCTTGAGGCCAATTTTGCCGTAGTCTCCCCCGTAGATGTCGCCAACAAGCATGTCGACTTTGGCATTATCCCCCCGCTCTGACAGGTCGAGCATCTCATCAAAAGTGCGGGCGCCTGTCAGGAGGGAGAGCAGGCCCCAAAGCGTACCACCGCCGAGCGAGGTTCCACCTACACGTTGGTATTGGCGGGGCCCGGAGACCTTTAGCATCGAGACGCCAGAACCTATGTTGACGAGGAGGTAGGGGTAAATGTTTTCTGAAGGTGAGACAAAGTGCATGGGGTCGGTTTCGCTGTACGTGAAGACTTCGCGGGGTATCTCGGTAATGAAGAAGTCGAGGCCTTGGAGGTACGTTAGCAACCGTCGAGCATGCGCCGAGTGGTTTGCGAGAACTTACCAATTATCAAACATTCCATCTCTTCCTCGCGCAACACATCTACGCCCAGGACATCCCGCATCTTATCGTAGAACTTGAAAGCGCCGCCTCCCGTCGCCATGACGCTCAATTCGTTCGGTTGAGAGCCATTGAGGGTCTGCTGCTTGTCCTTAAGGTGGCGCATGAACTCAATGCAGTCGTCGATGCGATCGGTCTCGAAATTGAGAAAGTTGAGACGACCGCCGGGCTCGGTGGAGTGCGCCTCGCGCGTAAAGTAGACGAGCTTAATCAAGGAGCCGCCAATCTGCGCAAACAAGGGGATTAGCTACTAGACAAGAAGGGGAAGCAGGCAAGGGCAGGAGGGAGTCGCATACGTCAACGGCGATATGGCTCACGACGGCATGGTGGTTGGGCAGGCGAATATCGCTCGTCTCGTGGTGGGTCGGGGAACCTCGGCCATTGCTCCTCGGAGAACTCGAGTCCGGATCGACGATGAAGGCGCCCTTGACATTGATGCGGACGGAGCCCGGCCGGATTATGGTGTTGTCGATTTCCTCGGTGCTCGTCATTGTCCGGGCTCTGGTGCGGATGTCGGCGCCGGCCAAGACTACAGGCTCGGAGGGGTTGTGTTCGCTGTCGATGGTGTTGTCGAGAGTGTTGTCGTTGTCTTCGGGTCGGGAATCATCTATGGCAGAGCCTCCATGATCAGGCGCGGGGCACATGCTCGGTCTTTATTTGGAAGTGTGTGTGGTTGTCCGGCGCGCGGAGGGCCAGACGGAAGGAGAGAGGTCGGGTGGCTTGGGACGGCGCAAGTCATGAACTTGGGAAGGGTCCAAGAGCTATGTTCGTAGCCGTTCGCGAGGAGCACGGAGGACGGGCTGGGGAGGTTGCGTCGGACGGTGTTGCGGTTATTCGGTGCTGGACTGGTGTCGGCGCAGGGTTCGCCTTGCGCTGGGCGTCAGTTCGCTTCGGAGTTGAAGGAGGGGGGAAAGAAGCTCGGCGGAGGGCAGAGAGAGGAGTGTTTGTCGAGGGCTTTGGGATTGTGGAACGCACTCGACGAATTTCAGTTGAACGTGACTAGGACCCTGGGCCGATAAAGCTGCAAGGCAAGTGATACCTCACAATTTATTAGTACCTCAAGTTACCCCCCTCCTTTTCTTCCCCCTTCAGCGACAAAATGCGCGCGCGACCCCCGCGTCGTATCTCCGGAAGGTTCCTTATCGATAAGCGGCAGGTCAGATGTACTATTTCCTATCTGGGCAAGTGCCTAGGCACTTTCTGGGGATTCGGCTAACGGAGCTAGGACCTAGGTACTTACCTTAGGGGCTTTACCAAGGTCCCTTCCCCTACTAAAATATCCGTCAACCTCTCAAGGTTGGGAAGTTCCAGATTGTAGTTCAGTGGAGGTGGGTTGTTGAGGTCCCCAATGCCGCTGGACCGAGGCTTTCGGGGTACCTCAAGCTAGGTGATCAATCGCCAATGAAGCCCATCCCCTCATCATCGTGTAGCCATACTTCCTTTTCTCCGCAAGATTTCGGAAATGGACATGGACTTCGTCATTCGTGCGACGTTACCTCTAGCTTCTTCGGCAGCCATGCAGAAGACCTTGTCAACCAATCCGGCAGCCGACCCGATTGTGCCGCCGGCCGTCGGTGTGGCTGTCGTTGTGTTCTAGGTAAGCCAATCGACTGCGACCAACTGTAATCCTGAGATTGCCGTAGGTTCGATCAATACCTATCAAGCCTCGACCTGCATTTCATCCTTCGATGCGCTAGGTACTCCCAACGGGTTCTTCTCAGCATCACATGCCACTTGCCCAGTGCAGCTCAATTGCCATAGCTCTCAAAAGTCGAGAAAGAAGCTCACATAAGTCTCACTGTCAGCAACCATCTTGAATTCGGTCTTGGGCCCGAGCCATGGGATGCCGCCACGCCATTTGACCAGCCGTGCGATTACTATCCAGATGAACACCAGCTCAGGCAATCCACCGGGAAGGATTTGTCCTAGCGCCGAAATTGTAGATAGCCGCCCACAGCGCACAGGACTTGGCTCGTCAGTGTGTAATCATCAAGGTATTTAGGTAGCTACTAACTCATTTCACTCTATGTAAGCATGCAAGGAAATAGCACTTGACTAAGCTATGTTTTGGTATTGTCTGTCTCCTCATCAGTGACCTCTGCACTCATAATGATAGGAGGAAGATTCCCCTCGGTTTTAGTGCCAACGGGCAACCCCGTCAGCGAGCTACCGGCCGGACGGCAGATGGGCCCACAAAAACACGGCGTCATTTGACATTGGGTCCGGTGACCCCCGATTCAAGGGAAGACGAACAGGAGCCAAATTGAACAAAGAACTCAGGACCGCCCAGAGGTACCCCTTCATTTCAAACGTACTCACCAATTGAACATGCCTCTTCAGATACAATACTGGTTAAAGACGTTGTCCCTGAACAGCGGCCGGGTCTCGCAGTCCGCCCAGTTTTACGCACTTCTCGTGGTGTCAATGAGCAAAGGTGAAGCGGCCCGCCCCTCATCTCTTAAATCACACCCATCTACCTTGGACGTCCTCTATCGTGGCTGGGATGTGTCTTCTCGAAAATACAACGGTCAGTCTTGCCATGATCTTCTCAAGGACCGTCGCCCATCTCTATCTCGTTCAAAAAATATCTTCATCGAGAGTGACTCAAAGATTTCCGAGGATGAGTTTTCCGCACTCCTTTCCTCACAACGATGGCCGTGCTCCGTCACACACCATAATGCCTCAGAGCCATCGCCTACAGGATCCATTCACACCTCTTGAGGACCGTCTGTCGTCTCAGCTCCAGGGACCTCCGATGAATACGTCGCACTTCGACTCTCAGGCACATCCTATGAGTCTCCATATTCTTCATCCCCAGACTGATCCACGCTACGTGGTCCCGCCTGAATACATTATACCCAACGTATCACCTGGGCATCCTCAAGATTATTACCAAAGCCAGGGACCTAAGCCAATCTTCCAACCTCATGGGCCAAATTTTCGCACAGAGCCAGCCCAAGAACCTCTGCCATTTGAAAGACCACCTTCAGATCAATTTGCAAGTAACAGGTACGAGGACGCAGTATATTTTGATGAAAGGGAGAACGACTCCCTGAACGATGACAGAGGCACCAGATCTGCCATAGGCGACTTCCAATACACCAATGACTGGGCCCAGAATAGACTGAGAAACCCGCCGGAGCGGTCTGGTCAGAGTTCTCGAAATTACCCAAGGAAATCGAGGGGCTTTGAGCACGATGATCCTCGAGATCGCGCCATGAGCAGCGAGAAGGGACCTCTTTGGAGTTACCAGGACATCAGCCGGACCAGGTTGGACACAGCAGAAGGATGGCGACAGCAGGCGAGTTTTTGCGCGCCTCAAACTAGGGAAGAAAGGCATTCCGAACAAAAGCAGATGCTAAGTTCTGAAAAAGGTGGTGGGGGCCAGGAAACAGCAATAGATTTAGGAAGAGAAAGGCGTTTTCAAGGAGAGATGGGGAGAATTCCCCAAGAACAATGCAGAGGCCCTCGAGGGTCACGCCTTTCGGAATGGGCCTCCTCTGTTACTAGGCCGACGGCTCCCAGGCGACGCGGTTCAGGATCAAGCCGCTCGACTTCACCCGATGAAGCCATTGATAATTATCAGCGGGAGCCTGTCGCTTAGAAGAAAAGCAGCGTTTGCCAGAGCTTCCGCCATGACAGAGGGAAGCCTTGAGTCATGTTCAAGAGCAATTCGAGGGCTGTCCAAAGACGAATTATACCTCCTAGAAGTCTACGAATTCGCGGCGAGGTGGGTCCGTTGCTTCATATAGCAATCATATAGCAATTTACAACACATTAACGCGTAGTGCAAGCTCTTTCGATGCTGACAGTACTATCGGGCTGCCTTGGTCATTGGCTGCTGAGCCTGTCTCGACAAGTATGGAGATAGTTATCCGTGGCGAAGGCTTGTCAGAGACGTGTAAACAGGAACAGCAGAACGACTCCTAATACTCAACTTCTGAACTAGGGGTGGAACTCATGACAACGACAGGGCCCTCGAATCCACGACTACCTCTCGGATGTCGAGCATCACTCTGAGAACATCTATGAAAATTTCCGTCTACATCGGGATTTATCTTGAGCTGGTTCAAGAGCCACCGTTCGTAGCGTATCTCAAGGGGTTCTACTGAAGCTAGGAGTGATACTGTCTACAAGCGATTACTCGTTATACGCCTCGCTTTGCTTAGGAGCCGCACCACTATATTAAAGGCCAAGTCCTCAAACTTGATCTCAAGGCTTGATATTATATCGACTGAGCGTGATGTATCACAGGCTTCTGCTCTTCGCAAAAAGGCTCGGCCCTATAGACTCGAGAAAGCTAAGGTTAGCGCCATGGTTGAATGTCTATTCACAGGCTTCTCACTACTTGCTTACCCTTGAGTCACAGCCGCATCGTTAAACATGGAACATGGTGCTATATGTGGAATCATCTGAGCAGAAGTAGGATATCCGCCTGAATTTTGCAGTGGTCTATTGGGGATCTTGAGATCTAGTGATTTGGTTCCTCTATAGCGTCCTTTGAACTCGGGTCCAGGGACCCCCGGCGCAGTGACTCGCGACCCCAAAGGCCACGAACGAGAATCAGTATGGACAAAGGACTGAGGTCCACCCAAAACACACCTGAATTCAGGCGGCCAAGACATCATAGCCGGCAAAGCATTCGGCCAAAAAGGCTTTACCTGAACAGGAGTCGAGGCCGATTTTTATGCTCTCAAGTACCCCTCATGTTGTTCAAATACTAAAGAGTGAACAAGTGTCTTTGATGCATGGACTTGAATAGACATCTATATAAAGTTATTACAAAGTGGTATGTTGAGGGTGATATGAATAATCTTGTTGAGAACTGGACAGGAATCGTCAGAACTGCAATCGTTTGCAAGAAGCATCTTCATCGTCAGCGGCATAATATAGTATCATAAGGATGAATTCACCACTTCGAGGTGAAACTAGCTCTACCAAGTACCCTGACTACCACCACTGCAACAAAAAAAACTGCCCTCACAAATCTCATTTGGGAGACCCGAGTTCAACATACAACGGACGGCCGCACTGCAATGGACGAGCTTCAGGTTGCGAGCACCCAGACCATTTCAGCCCCGAAGAACTCGAGCAGCGAGTACGTGAACATGCATCGAATCCGGTGATACTGAATGACGAGGGTGTCCCGGAGGACATGTTACCAAAGGTCCAATCCAGAAGCCGGGCTCGAATCGCCACGAGAACACACATGAAGGATCAGCCAATGTCGGCAGCCGGCTTACAAGAGTATCGAGAGATACACCCCTATGCATTGAGAACAGAACCAACTTGGGATACTAGACTGAACCAAGGGTTTGTCTCACACGATACGCCTGAATTCCCACACGATACGCCTGAATTCCCACACCATATGCCTGTATTCCCACACCATATGCCTGTATTCCCACACCATATGCCTGTATTCCCACACCATATGCCTGGACTCCCACACCATATGCCTGGACTCCCACACCATATGCCTGGTATCCCGATGAGCACGATGCGAGATGATGCCCCACCAATGACAGGCTACGTATGGGCCCGGAATAGTCAGAATTTTCCGAATCAAGGACATTCGAATGTATATGCCCCATACAGAAGGGGCCGCGTAGAGTCTCTAGGGAGCCAGAACTCTCAGACTCCCCCGAATGATCATCGCCATTCACAATCGTACCCCGAAGAGGAGTATGAACCGGTTCCAAGGAACCAAAGTGTTCCGCGTCGCCCGGATCAGGGATTCCAACCGCCTCCAACCCAACACCACGATACACGACAGCATGCACAGAAAGGACAGCGTAGGCAGAAAAGCAGATCGGATTCAACAGGACAGAATAGCCAGGTTTTCGAGGATCCGGCATCCTGGCCGCCTGGGACTCAAGATCCATATTCGGAATCGCGCGAATCGGGCCGGCAACCTCGGCCAGAATATGTTGAAGGCGATGGAGGAACAAGGGCCCTAAGACGCCGGCCGACAGTTCGCCATGGGGAAAGCTTGCAGATACGCGAGATGAGCCCTGGGAGCATGGTCAACGGAGAGGTGATTAGAGGAGAAGTAAGCACGGTATCAACTCGCCCACCCCGGTAATATGTATTATCTTGGGGCTGGCCCAGATTAGCACCTCATTCAAGATAGCCAATACCAAGACGTTGAAGTTATTAGTTAATGCGAATATTCTTGTCCAAACTCTGGCATTAAAGCCGTCGAGTTTATATTCCTAGATGCTTGCAAATCAGCCCGGGTTCACCTCGCTTATCGTATCCCTTTGCAGACTTGCAAGATTGAGCAAAGCCGCAAGACCGATGTATAGTGAGTGTTAATTTGCGGGCAATGGAGCTTTCCTGAGATGCTTACTCGTATCGTAGCCATTGCCTCTTCTGCTTTTCCGCAACATTGTTGAGGTTGAGATTGGTGGAGCCTGCGAAGTTTTGATGAGGCATTCTACTCAGCTCACATGTCACCATTCCAGCCGGCCGCATCGTTCGCCGAGATATCGACTTCGCAAAGTGTAGAAGCGGACGACCTAGTTGGAGCAAGCAGGGGCAATAGTCAGTCTGCTCTGACTCCTTTCCCAAAAAGAAACTTCGACACCTGAATCATATCACTGATTTTCTACCTCTCTATCACAAGGCTCCCTCGTCTACTGAGTCCTTTCTCAATTCGACCGAATCATTCCATAGTGCAAACCGGGCCATGCCGACAGCCAAGGCAAATCAAGCCTCTGACCTCTCCTAAAGTACAAAGTTCTCCTTCCCCCAAGGAAGAAACCTTCCTGTTGGTACCTCCCATCGAAACCCCGCTCCGTCCTAATGCTCATGAAGGGTATTTCCAAAAGTCTCCCCATCGAAAAAGATGCCTCCGCAGAATACTTCAAAACGCCGGAGCCCCCTCTCTCTCGCCGTGAGAGCCAAGAGAAAAAGATAGAGAGCCTAGTAGCTCTTTCCGAACACCTCATAATTTCAATAAAGAAATCCCCTTTTCCCCTTTCATGAAGACGGTAATGTAAAGAAGAAGAAGATGATGATACGCCCCTGAAGTCCATGGTAAAATGCACCCTTTCGTCGCGGCCTAACAGCCTTGGGTATGCTCCGTCCGTTCCATCGTCTAAAGAGCAAGTTGCGAAACCCTTGCTGGGTTGAAGATACTGTCGTCTGTTTTCTGTTGTCTGTTGTCGGTCATTACAAAGCATCAAGTCGTGATACGCCCCTCCTCTGTCCTTCTCGTCCCCTACTCAAGTCGTGCATGTTGTTTGAGCCAACAACCGTTTTCAAATAGAGGTACAATGGTGATTTTCTCCATAAGCCGATGAAGCGAAATCCCATCTCAACGCCATAGGAAATCTGACGGCTTCACCGGCCTTCCCGTAGCATGCGAGATAATCCTCACATTCTCGCACGCATCCTCAAAGTCGTCGTCCATGTTGTACTCGCGGTAATACCACCCGCCTGTCCGCGGATCCCAGAAGTCCCGTCGGTGCAGCTCGGGCGTGTGAAGGCCTAGATACGACATCCACTGCGTGTGCTCGCGCAGGATGGCCGGGCTGCTGACGTCCTCAGGCCCAAGGACGGTGTTGATGGGCTGAGAGATGGATTTCTGCCCACGGGCGTCGCGGTCGTTGAACATGAGCATCAGGCGGGAGGCGATTTCCTTGTCGATTGCGCTGAGGGGTTGGCCGTGCTCGATGCGAGCTGCTAGGGATGTCAAGTAGGATTTGTGTCCGTTCTTTCTTGGAGAATGGAGATGGGCCTGATAGTTTGTTAGACCTTTTTCCTTGGGTTCAAAGATGGTGCGCGTTAGTGGGCGTCATCGGCTGTCCTCATACCTTCATCTCTCGCCGGGTGTCCGTAAGGAACGGGCAGTTGTCCATGATGCACCGATAAATCTCCTTGAGGTAGCCCGGCTCGGCCACCGGGGGCGGACAACAGTGGGTCGTCGGCTGCGAGTCCGGCAAGAAAGACACCGGCCGGCACTTTTGACAAAGGCCACGGACGCACGGCTCGTTTCCAGGTCCTTCATGATCGAGGTAGTAGTGTAACTGGGGGTCCCCGGTACTGTCAACTCATAAAGTTCGCCTTAAAAGACGGGTTCGTCTTAAACCCAAAACGGCGCGCATCATAGAACGTACCTCTGAGCATCCCGGCCGAGAGAATCCGGGATCCCTCCGTGCATCTGCCGGATTTGGCTGCGCGTCTTGTAAGCGTGTGTTGCTCTCACACGGACATTATGTGAATAGGGGCCGAATATGTTAAGGCGGCACGTACTATCCTTAGTTCAATCCGGTCCTTTTGACTGACATCGCCCCGAATCACCTTGGCGGGCAGAGGCATGGCGTTCCATCGCAGACAACACATGGAACAGACGTACTTCCTCGGCCACCCAAAGTTCCCCTGCGCGTCCGCCACGGCCTCTGATTCCTGACACCGCCACCCAATGCCGTTACCGTACTCGTGGCGGCTGCCCGAGAGGCCGTAGTAGTCGATACTCCATCCGGTCTGGATCTGGTCCCCGTTGGCCACGGACCGCGATCCGTCCACCTCCGTCGGCAGAGAAAACTCCTGTGGCGCCGGACGGCCCACGGCGTTGCCGAGATAAAACCCCGTGTCACCGTCTACGCGAACGAGAACGTGACGCGGCTGCGAGGGCTCGGCGGCAGAGAGGTCGAACGGGTTGATGATCCCGGCAGGCGGACCCGGAGCAGACGGCTGTTGAGCCGCTGGTGCGGGATATGTGCCGTCGTTGGTACCGCCTTGGCTGCTGTGAATATTCCCGCTGCCGTTGCCGCCGCCGGGGCCGGCGCTTGCTGCACCTCCTCGCGTGATGGCCGCAGAGGCCGGACCACCAGTGACATCCGGTGCTTTACCAAAGCGGGGAGGTCCCGTGCCTTGGCGGCTGCTACTGCTAATACCACTGCCGCCGCCGTGGCTGTTGTGCGATGGTATCAAAGAAGCAGCAACTCCAGGCGGCTCTCGTTCTTGTGGCTGGGCCTGAACGGCAGCCGGGCGTGTTGGTGGCCATTGTGGGCTATACATGAGAGACCCATGATGTGGCGAGGGAAACGGATGGAAATCACCTCCCCCGAGAGAATTCTGATGCCCGACGAATCGATTGGAGACTGTCAGGCTCATGTTACGCGGGGGGAAAGATGTTGTGCTCCTGGAGGGTGCTTGAAGTAAAAAAGGCGGCAGAGCCGGGGACGAAAAGGACCCCAAATTGTCTGGTCTGGTCTGGCCCGGTTGTGCTTCGTTTCCTGGGTTCCTGGTTCCTGGGTTCTGGTTTCCTGTTATCCTGGGGCGTTTACGTATCTGACAGCTTGTTCTTCTCACGGGATCTTCAGCTGTGAAAGTGATTTGATTGATGCTGCTGATGCTGGCCTGCTGCTTGCCCACGGGTAACTGCAGATGGTAAAGGGAACACAAAGTACGGAGAGAGGCGAAGAGAAGGGACGGGCGGAAGCGAGTCGGGTCATGTACGATGGAGCGGAGAGATAGATCTCAGACAATCAACGCGTGCTGGGAGTGGATGGAAGTTGTGTACAGAGTTGTACAAAGAGTTGAGCGGAAGTGAATGCAGTGAAGAAAGGACGGGAGATGTAGGAGGAGATTCTGATTGAATGACACCCCCCCTGCGCTCACGATATTCTGGTTCACTGGGCTGGACGACTTCCGACGCTGGGCTGGGCATCGGGGGATCGGGGGGGAATCCCTCAAGAATCAAGGTACCACCCAATGAACCCAATCGCAATTCCCCAGTACCACCAGTACCAGCCCTCGGTCACCCAGCGGTTTTTTTCTCGCTGGTTGCTCACCTGAATCAAAAAGAAAAAGAAGGGCAAGGCGAGAAACTACCCCCCAGGGTGGCTGGCCCTAGTCTCAGAGTATCGCGAGAAGGAAAAAGCAATGCGCGTTACGGATGGATACCTAGTGTACGCAGTACATACACACTCTGTCTCTCAAAGTCTCTGTGTGGCCCCCATCACCCTTTCAGTAAGTATATCTCCCTCTCCGCCTTGTCATCGTTCGCTCAACGCGTCCTTTGACGGCCCTGTCGCTACCCAGGCACACATACACACGCACTATACTGCGTACGTCTGCGCCTTGCAACGTGACTGGTGAACCTGGGGCGGGTTCCAGCGGACGGAAGATGCCCAATTTCTGCAGACCGACGCGTAGGCGTAGCGGATGCGCAGGAGAGCCAGACCCGGCTACGGGTACGTATCCGTACGTACGACACAATGATAGCGTGCAGTAGATAATCTTGGGAAGACTGCCAAACTGGAGCCCAAAAAGTCCAAAGTGGCCGGGGTCAGGGAGAGGAGCCAGGGGACCAAAGGCAAGGATCAAGTGAACAGCCAGGGGCTGGGAAGGGGAGGGGGGTGATCCGGAAGAGGAGGGGGGAGGGGAGCAGCAGCGGGCGGTTGGGCCAGGGCCGAGATCGATTCGATATGAGTGAACCTTCTTTTGCAGTGCTATCTCATTCTCCAGTGTTGTGTCCGTACGGATACCCAAAGGATAAGATCCGAGGCTGGACTCCTATGTCATAGTACGGATACAGAAGACATATTACTATGTATAGGTATAGGTAGGGCTCGCTCTCGGCACGGGAAGGCAGGACAGGATGCTGCCGGGTTGCGTTGTGATAGGTATGCTGCAGGTCATCAAACATCATCAGACGAGGCGGAAAGGGCCTGGGCCAACACGGCCACCACCTACGGATACATAATACGGATACACATTGGGCGCAACCTCGTGGCTCCCAGGTTGGGTTCCATGCTTCCCTCAAGAGAGACATCATCGCGGGTACATATCTGTTGCCTTGCACCTGGATGAGCATCAAGACATCCCCGACACCCCTGTTTGCGCGCGTGTATGTCGTGGGTGTCATGCCGCTGCCACAATCTGCATCTGCAGTGTGCGCTGATGTGCTGCGCGCGTTGCGTGCTGCTGCGGCTTGGCTTTTTTTTTGTCCAGACTCCGCTTCGATGTGCTGTCAGTGTCATAATAATCGTCACTCTTACACATGCGCAGACACCCACGCAGAGTACTTGTGTATGCGTACCCAAAGTAGTTGCGTAGGTACTCAAGTAGGCATCTGTATCTGCGGTTGAGAACACGAAGAAACGCCTCCCCCGGTACGGACGTATGCAGAAGGAAAAAGATAGATGAGTTGCAGATTCCCTCTGAGACTTGTGTCTCGTTCAGCATGACCAGCAGCATCTCAGCAAGCCCCCCTGCCTCACGTTGGGATTGGTTCGGCACGAGGAGACCCCTCTTTCCCAGGGATTGCTTATATTCCCGTGTACTTATTTGCACAGTACCCGTATAAGTTGTCAGTGGTTTGTTTAGTTTTGTGTGGTTGATGTCGAAAAAACATGACGCCCTATCCGCAACTGGGACCCTAATCCGCGGCACTAAGATAAAACCCACAACTCTCCGATCGATAGACGAAGCAAGACTTGTCAAAAAGTCGATAGTCGACAGGAGGAGCTCCAGGGACAGGCCTCCGAGACGTCTACCTATGGGCAAAGATCCGGGGAAGACGGACCAATAGGCGATGCGTCGAGTGGCGTAAAAGGAGGTGCTGCATCTCGCTCTAAGAAGCGGTTTAGCAGGTTTTGGCCTAGTTGTGGAGAGTCTGTTTTTGCTTTTTCCCAAAGTATTTGCCCCTCATCAACAAGTCAACCTCCTTCGGGCCCATTCCCGCTGGAATATGGATCCGCGATGAATACAAATCTCGCAAACCGCGTCAAAGACAAGAACCTCGGAATGGTTAGTGGACATGGCCTGTTAAAGCCCTTTTACCCGCTGCCTTGGTCTCGCTTCCCGTGGGTTCGTGGGCTCGGGTTTTTGACTGCCGTGTTGTGTTGTAATGTATAGCAGCATGCGCATAGTAGTTGATTGTGCGATTACTTTGCCCCGAGCTCTCTGCCTGAGCTTAGCTTTTGCTTGAGCTCTTTGCTTCAGCTCTTTGCCTGAGCTCAATGTGTATATGTCAAGTTGCAGTTTCGGCTCTGCACCATCATGCCTTCTGCTACCCAACACCAACACACAACTGATCACTGATACGAAAAGAACCCAGAAAGAGAAACGCCTCGCAATCATACACGACCACAAAATCCCACATTTGGCTCTCCTCAATTTCGAACGACAGGGCAAAACGCCCGTTCTAACACTAAACCTAACGGCCTGTGCCCAGTGACATATCCCACCGCCGGCACTCGTCCAAACACCTTGACTATTGGACTGCTACCGATATTTCCCACCTCATCCCCTGGCAATCCCTTCTCGTCAACCCCGAAAGGAAAATGTGACGAATGACGACCCGATCGACTGGGCCTGACGATTGCGCTTGGGAGGAGCCAAAGAAAGTTGCCGACGTGCAGCAGCCCCGTTCCGTTGGTGCTGACGGACTGGAGCCTGACAGAAATGCTGACGGACCATGGCTGGCCAGCATGGATGATGGATGGATGGATGGATGGACTACCTCAGGCAGGCAGGTATTCATACCTAGTCTAGTCAGTTGCACAGCTGTACTTATTCAGACCGAGAACACCATCATAATCAACGTATTCAGGCTGAGGGATCCGAGATACAACACGATCATGGTGTGATCCAACGATTTCTCCCTACCTACGGATATTGTACTCCAGTCTCTCCAAGTCTCAGTCTCACTATCCGATTCCGACTCCCGACTTTCCCACCCATCCCAAATTCCCCATCCCTAGCCTCGCTTCAGCGTGACGTGACAACCTACTTTACTTAGTACATCCCCATCTCCAGCCATCACGAAACATATCAACCCTCACAAAATAAATTCCGATCCAAGTGAAGAATTTTATCTTCCACCACACCCCCTATTTCACCTAACTAGCTAGCGCCGAATCGAAATGTCCAGTGCCCAGTGTGATCCGCAGCTCCAATTCCTAAGTCATAGCTAAACCCTACACAGCAGTCCTTGACGACAACGAACCGTAGGAGCACTCGAAAAAGCAATAATACAGCGTCCCCGGGTCCCACGGAATCAACTTCCGGACCACCACAACCAACAACTGACACCACCACGATCGACAAGCCACGCGCCGGACGCCCGCTTTCCCAGCCAGCCAGGGCACGCCGCACAGGTCTCCAAGAAGAGAGACATGGGGGGGGGGGGGCGCCGTACCTTTCCTTGCCTCTCTGCAGATAGGATACCTAGGTACAGTAAGTACGCCGTCGGATGTGCTCTCTTCGACGATCAGCGGTGTGTCGTGCGTGCTGCGTTGGTGGGTTTTTGGCTTTTTCTTTCTTTCTGCAAATAACATAAAACGCTCAACGGGCGAGAAAAGGGATGTGGGAAGCTGAACGGCAGAAAACCTGGTCGAGCTGGTGTCGAGCTGGACTCGGGAGCAGCGCTCGGATGGACAAGGATCTTGCAGGCTACGGATACAGATACACAAGGGAGCATTAAAAGGGATACACTTGTTCGTTTTGCCGATGCCTAACATGGTCCAAAGGTGGCTGAACAGCTAGCTGGTCATACTGATCCTACCGACATCCGATACCCATCATCTAGGTCTCTGTTCCATAGTCTAGGGTTCAAACATTGACCATCTTCACCCCCTTGTACGGCAGTCGGGTTCGCGTGTCATACGAACTACCAGCCCTGAAATACCGCGTGAAAATAGCCGCTCTCGGTTCGAACTTGGCGAGACAAGAGACGGAGAATCAGGGTCGCAATCCTCACTTCTCCAGCAAACGGCTGAGCACCCGGATGATGCACATATCTCGACAGTCGTCATTGCGCCACTGCTGTGGCACTGGAACTACATTCCTTTGCTATGCGGATGGCTTCAGTGTCTCAAATTGGGTATTTCAGGAAGCATGGCTCGCAGAGTCGCAGCCTCCTTGCTTCCGGCCTCACACGTATATTGAGCCTGGCCAAATTGGCCCCAGAGCGTATTCCCCGAGTGTCCCCTTGAATGATACCAATGGATCCTCTTGACAACGTTGTAGCAATTCGGAGGATTTGCACGAAACCGGGTACCTTTGCGCACGTTGCACATTCGAATCGGAAACGTTTTGTCGATGACGATTTGGCTTGGCTCCTGGCCTCCCGCAAGAGCCGCATGTCAAGCTCTCAGCGTGTCTCCACTCACTCTACGATGTCCGTCAAAAGAAACTGAAATGCTCGGGTTCGACGCACGGTGTTACGTTGGGGGATATGCGTGGAGCTCGAGTTGCACAAACACCTGGCATTTTGCGTGGTGACGGCAAAAAGAAAGCCTTCGCAAGTCTGATTCGCTGTCCTTGCTGGGCCGCATGAGGGACCTAGACGGTGGCTTGAGGCGGTCTGGGAGGTTCTTGGCGCCATGATCAACTCCTGAATTGCATAGAAATGCAGGGAATACTCTGCAAAAGCTAGGCGGATGCTGACTTGTAGACGACATCAATCGTTACGACTGACACCGGCGCAGAACAGTCGCCGAGTAGCCTACATCTAGGCACTGGTGCTGAAGTAATAGTTCTCCCACAGATACTCATAGTCCTCCAGAATGCCACCGACCAGGTTGGGTACTCTGGATCGCACGCCGCCGACAACACCCTTCATGATGTTCTCGTAGAATGCTCCGCGCATGGTCCACCAACCCATGGCCCAGCCTCTCTTGCTCCATTCGTCGCGTTCGAGGGGCGTTGTCCTGAAGCCCCGGTCTCTGAGTTGCCGTGCTGCGTATTCGACGCTCAGACCGACCAGCCACGGTGTCCATGACTTCTTATTCTTGCTTTTCGACAAAGCAATGGCATACACCAACGGGGCGAGGATGTGTAACACCTCTGCTGCCTGTGCACTGCCCTGTAGCTGATTTAGCAGCTTTGCAGCTGGTTTGATATCCTCTGCCGTCAATACCTTGCCCAGGAGATAGCCGCTGATATCACCAGCATTGGGCAGCGAGGGAAGGCTCATGCCCGTTCTGGGCATCGTCCAGTCCTTCTCATGAGGCTTCTGGGCCTCACCGCTGTCTTCCGGTGCGTGCCCATTGGTCGGCTCTTCCAGAATATCCTTCAAAGCGGCATCACTTTCGGCCTCGGTTTCTTCAGGGATAGGCTCACGTTCCGGGAGGACGGGCGACACAAGAGGTCGAGAGCGCGTCACGCGCAATAGTAGCAGGCGGCAGACGGCCTTGATAGCCTCCAAGAGCACGACGACGCGCCATCGACTGCGCTCGCCGCCACGTCTCTTGGCAGCCATCTCGCATAGTAGCTGTGTGTATGTGACCATCTGCAGTAACATGGCAATGCGCCGGTACATGGGACTGCGCTGAGTCCAGTATTTCGTATATCGGGCATGAGGGGATGGCAATCGCGCCATCGGGATGCGCGACAGGGCGCGCATAAGAAGGGTATCATGATATAGAGAGAGGAGCTGCACACTCGAGTGGACAGTTTCGGAAGCAATCTCGGCGTCGCGGAATCGACCTTTGAGAGCCAGTATTAGACGGGCGATAGCGAACACAGTTCTTGTATGGAGAAGTGCCTTACCAGGAATGATGTACGTGAGGGACCGTAAAGCCGACTCTATTTGAGAGACCTGACTAGAGTTCTTGGTGATGAACTCTTCGTACATGTGAAGCCATTGCGGCGGTAATGAAAGAACGGCGCGGATTTTGGACGGCTGATGCGATAGCCGCGTCTTGTTGGGGATATCGGCGGAAGTCGACATGGTGGAGGATTCAAATCATTAGGGCGTGGCGAAGGTTTGCGAAGGTTGCGCAAAGAATAGTCAAACAAGAGGTGGGATTGAACGAGCACAGAGAGAAAGCGCGCGGCGGTGATGTCAGCACGAAGAGAATGAAGAAGAAGAAGAAGAGGACAAAATGTCAAAGATGAAGCGGTTGTAAATGACAACGCAGCGACGTTGGGATTTGTGAAGGAAGTGAAAGTGGTTGGCGGAAGTGCGAATTAGGTATTAACGTAGGTAAGCTATCTCACAAACGCCAGAGTCGAGGTGGTACAGGTGTATCTGTAGGTGCAGACGGGATGGTGGATGGTTTAATGACGGAAAGTTGCAGGGACCTCGGTGGGCACGCTCATCGCGACTGACGTGGAGTGCGCCTGTTGCTCCTGTGCTCCTGCTGATCTGACCTGAGCCCGCGGGCGACCGACCGTAAGCCGAGGTCACGGCGTCGCCTGCCACCTCTCGGCCCTGCCACCTCAGGCAAGTACGCTGGGTCTCTGGCATGAGATAGGAAAGTGCATCATCACCCGCCTGTCCAATGCATTGGGCCAATGAAATTGCGTTGCATGCCTCGGTAAGGGCAATCCCTACCGCATCATAGCCCGTCTACTTGCATGCCCTTCCTTACCGTACTTGCCTCTAGGTACTTATACTCAGATTGACATATCCCTACGGACCTCAAGTGACCCTCACGACGATACCAACAACGAACCTCGCTCGCACTACACTCTTACAGGCCTTGGCCCCCTGGAAATATCTTCATATTTGCACAAAGCGATTAGTATTTGCGTTCTAGATCCTCGCAGTACCGCGACCTGGCACTGTTGTGCCACACTGACAGCCCGTCAACATAGCTGCAACGAGTACATGGAAGGGGCCCGAGACAGCCTGCTCTGAAGCACATGTCGTCTTCGTCTCCAATAGAAATAGTAGGGTATCACAAAAACAAAATGCCTTGCCCGAGGCCAAACTCCTGTGCGGGCAGAACGAGGCCCCGACCCAAGTCCACTCATACGTAGAGGTCCATCTCATAGTTGAATGGATTCGATATGACTGCATCTCGTTTTGGTGCATTGTTCGAGTCCTCTATTCGACCACATCAGATTCTCTCGAATCCAGCATCTGCGAGCTCAACTCCAGTAGGGAGCATCGGCCGTCCCTGCATCGGGAACGGCCAAAACAAAGGGTTCTCCATCACCTTGGCCGCCCGCTCAACTGATGCTTGTCCTGGCTCCGTGGATTTAAGGCCCATGGCTACCGCCGGGTTCGGTACGTCAGCTGCATCGGCGCTGCCTCCCCAAGCGCATATGAAGTCATCTTCAATGACGTTGGGCGCAAAGAAGTTGAGACTGCTCGTGTACGGCCTGACAAGATGTGCGTACTCGGCATCTGAGGCTACTTCGCCGCCCATATCGACGTCCATGTTCCACTTCTTGGCAAGGTACCGTAGTATGTTCAGCGCCTGTTCAGCAAAATGGTGGCACGGTGCCATCTCCTCCAGATCCCGAATACCTTGCTGGATAGCTTCTACAACGCGAGGCGGGTATGAGGGTGGATCATTCGGATCCGTGTTTTGGCCTGGCCCTTCAAAGGCCTTCTGCAATGGCAGTGAAGAAGAGGTTGTGGCACCGATGGCTAGATGCATGATGGCTGATGTGAGTACAAAGTACGGGACAAATGATGGCGTCCGCCGTAGAGTGTACAATTGCGAGTAAGATCGCAATAGACCTTGGATGGCATCTGCCGCCTGCCCACATACGTCTCGGGGTAATAGCTTAGAGCCAATGATCTTAAGCTTGATGAGGGGACGAAACAGAAGTAGGATCGCAAAATGATAGTACATGCTGTGGCGATATCCGGTTAGTACGTGTTGCAGCCATGTATCTCTTTTGAGAAAACTTACTGCGCGAACAGGACCGCTGGTGTGAAGTTGTGCCCCAGCCTCAGAACCTCTGGTATCTTGTCATACCAGTTGAGATACTGGGTATAAATGCCGAGAAGGTCACGGCTGGTCAGCGGGCGCCCCGGGGAGTGCAAAACGTAGAGGCTTTGGTGCACGAGCTCGCTCAATTCACAAAAGCACTTATAAACAGATCGAACGTTGGATGGCTGCTCGGCGGACCGCTGCAATGGTGCGCCTATCGATGAACCTGAGCCTCTGTCGCTTGGAGAGCCTGAAGCCTCGCCTAAGTTTATCAAAGACTTACCATCGTCAGTGTAAGGGATCCAAAGAGAGGCTTCTATGTCATCTATTATGGCAGGCTTTGGCGGCAGATGAGGAAAGCAGGAACATTGCGGAAGTGAGCCGGTCGCTAAAGACCACGCACTGGGAGACAGTCAGGTTGCAAGACACGATGCCAGACTTCGATACAAGAAACTCACTGGTCGAGAGCGAATGCGCCCCAGAAAGTTGCAGCCTGAACCGCAAACTCGTCATCGTCTCCATCTTCCTCGAGCTGATGAAGTCCCATCTCGATAGCAAGACGAATGCTTTGCCCGGCATAGTACCAACTTTCCGAGTCTCTGCCACAGCTGGCTTCTCGAATAGACATGATACCCAGGGCTTGAATGGTGGTGAGATTGTGGTGGTTTTTCTCCTTGTAGAATAGACTTTGTGCTTCTTTGAAAAAGTGATCGCCAGAGGTGTACGGGTCGTTGGGATTCGCTCTAGTACTCGGCTTACTGGAGAAACGGCACCCGAGAGCCAAGAGCGCGTTGACGAGTATCGGGGAGCAATAGCGTTCGACGCCATTCTGGAAATCTCTGAGGAAA